TAAAAAAATAAAATTAAATTATTAGGGGCCAGGGATACAGTTCAGTGGCACAGCGCCCTGCCTGGCAAGCACAAGGTCCTGAGTTTGATACCAAAAAAAAAAAAAAAAAAAAAACAGATAGTGGCTGCTCAATGAGTGTAGTGGATTTAATTCTGGTCGATTTTATTAATACATGCTGTTTGTGGAGGACAGGATGAATGCTTGTAGTAGAGCCTACCCATCGCATCACATTGCTATTTTTTCACAAAATAGTCCCTATTAAGGTCAATGCAGCCAGCTAAAAATGCATCCCTTCAGAGCCAGATGTGATGGCACACATCCATAACCCCAGTACTCAGGAGTCCAAGACAGAAGGATTGGGAGTTCAAGTCCAGCCTAAGCTACCTAGCAGGTTCAAGGCCAGCCTGAGCTGTAGAGCAAGACCTTGTTTCAACCCCCCTGCCCAGTGTGTTTTTTCAGACTGAAACTCTTGCTCATGATATCATTTGGGTCCTTTTCATTTGGAAACTTCATCATCTCAAATACAGTTTAATTAGTATTAGTCAGCCTTCTGTTACTGTGATAAAATACCTGAGAATAACAACTTAAAAGAAGAAAGGTGTCTATTACTTCATAGTTTTAGAGGGTTTGGTCAGTGGTCACTTGGTCCTGTTGCTTCTGAGATGTGGGTGAGGCAGAATCATCATGGCAGGGAGCATATGATGGAGCACAGTGACTCTTCTCAGGCTGGACGGGAGATAGAAAGAGCAGAGAACATGTACTGGAGGGCTTTCTGCCTTCTCTTTTTTCCCACCTGGGCCCCTAGCCTATTGAATATTGCCCCCACATCCAGGAAAATCTTCCCTTCAGTTCTAAGTGCTACATATCAAATGTCTCTGGACACACCCTTAAAGACACACCCAGAAGTGTGCTTTACTAATTTCCCAGGAGTTTCTCAATCCAAGCAAGTTGACAACAGAGATTAACCACCACACACAGGAGGGCCCAAAATGTACCATTACCACCCCATGACCTCAGCAGCTTTCTTTGTTGTTGCTCCATTTTGACCTGATGCAGGTTTTGGGCTTCCTCTGATGTTTCTGACAAGAGATGCTGTAGTCATCTTTGTACCCTTTGCACTGCTCAAGCATAATCACTAAGCATAATCACTAAGCATAATCACATAATCACTAAGTCCCACAGTCTCTCCCCAGAATGCCTCTGGTTTTCTGTCTATTCCCAACAGCTTTGGCTATCAGGCTCTCCTTCTACAGCCTGGTCCTCTTGACTCCCTTCACCTTTCTAGTCCACGTGACTTTTGTTTACCACCCTGGCCAAAATAACACCACCTGATAGCTCAGGGCAGGGCCCTGGTGGGGTCACTGCACCTCCTTGCCTCTCCACCCGCACATCTGTTAAAAAAGGAGGGAGGGTGAACTTGACAATCTCCAGACTCCCTCTGAAGTTTGTTTCCAATTGTTGAACATGGAGGTTCATCCTAAGCAACTAAACCCACCATTATTAGTTACTTCATTCTAAGCACTTTTCTTTTTTATAATTAATTTAGTTTCCTGGTATATCTTAGGTATACATAATGATCACATTCATTATAGGGAATTTGCACTTGTACACAACATAACTTGATTATTTTTTCCCATTCCCCTACCCTTCCTTCCACCCTCTTCCCCTTCTTATTTACAAAAGCTCTGTTTCCATTTTTTCCTTTTCTCATCATTTTTTTCTTTTCCCTTTCTTTCCCCCTCCCCACTCCCTAGTTCCCCTTTCTATTTGAACATTTTCTTCAAAATGTATAATGCATATTGTGAAATTGTACTGTTCAACACATACTGGCTCGTTGGATTTTCATATTAATCATGTAAGAAGCCTTTATACTGACAATTCATAGATAAGAACACTAAAGGTCAGGGAAGCCCCAAGGCCTGCTCACTGTTAAGTGCTTCAGCACAGCCTCAGCGAAGTCCAGCTGGAATCTTCTGCGTATGGTCTCAGGTACCATCTGGGGAATCTGAGTTATTTTCAGCCCCTGTACTGCTCTCTGTGATGAGGTGATGGGGACATGGAGGCTGAGTGTTCCCCTAAGAAAGCACAGTGTTCTTTTTTATTTTAAAGAGAAAAAAAATAATGCAGAATTTTGAAACAAGATAATAGGAAATTAACAATGGTTAATATATTGCATATTGTTATCTTCAAAGTAGTTGCTCGGTTACAAGATATAAGCATGCATAATTGATCAGACAATATAAACACAAACCGTTTTTTTCTATGAACTAAAAGAAGTCAGTAGTATAACTATCTTATCTATCTTTTGTATATATTTTTTTTTCTT